CAAATGTAAGCGCTTTAAGCCACCAATGCATGATGGGTTAGTAATGAAACATTTTGTGTCCAATTTGGTCATCATAAAAATTGCTCGAATCCTCACAATTGTCCTTATACACTGTTATCTGAATGTTTTTGCTGTTATTTATGCTGTTATTTGTGTATAGTGTTGATACTCATCCTTTACTCCTGCAATTAAGAAAATCTTGCTGATTTAATAAGACTTGTGATGATAGAAGATGTGTTATTTTTCTATTGTTATCTGGTCTTTCATTTCTATCAGTTAAATCAGACAATGGACAGATTAGCCGAATGTCCCTTATACAGCCCTATTTGCAGTGGCAGTGAGTTTCATGACAATAGGATTAGCCCACCTTGCTAATGGATTTGCTGGTCAGTAGAATAAAAGAACAAAAGGACTCTGGCTCTGGTTTTGTCGTGGTTTTTGAAAACTTTGTGTTCTGGTTTGTACCTGCCATTCTCACACACACGGAACCAAAAGCCATTCTCTCTGGAGTCTAGCCCACGCTGTCTGCTTCCCCTGTCACCTCCTGTTAGACACAATAGCCTTTTCATCTTTACTTTTTCACTATCCTCTGCACAGTTGCTCTCAGATATGAAAAACATAATTTCCCTGCAGGCTGCTTACTTCTCGCTTTTGAGTGAAGTCAAAATCAATTAGCGCAAAAGCACTACAAGGGCTTGCATTAATCACCTCTTTACATAAACACAATGCATTTTATTATGGCGCTGATTTATTCCTTTTCTTTTCTCAGTTCATTTTTCGAACTAACAGATGGCCTTCCTGCTGCCCTAAAGCTGTGCTCTGCTAAACATTTTATTATCAAGATAGATTTTACTTATATAAAACCTAGTGATGAATATTCCCAGTAGATTAAATCTCCTAATTTGTTTGTCCGCTGTAATATTAAAGCCATAGATATGAATGAAAGTCCCAAACTACAAAAAGGGGTTGTAAGTCATTTGGAATTTCTTTGTAGAGAAGAA